GAATTGCACACTATAATACTAAAAGGATTTAGCTTGAGCAAAGGATTCAGAAGAGAATTGATAAGTAAATATGACGGCGTTCTTTCTTCTAGAAATCCCTTCCATTTAGAAGCTGCCAGGAAGGAGAGGGTTTCAAGGGCAAATGCGACCCAGAGAGTATGGCTCCACCCAGCTCATTTCTTCAATGTAATGAACTAGTAGAAACATTAAAGTCTGATCAGTCTGCACAAAATTACTCAGGTTGTTTATTTATAGAGTTTTTGGGCAACCAGAAGCACAGAACTTCAGATTCCTGTTTAATCCTTATTTGTTCTAATAGTCTGTCATTCTTAGACAGTGGTCAACCTTGTTCCTGTTGAGGCTGGCCTTTAAAACTTCATTCTTCCAAAGCTCAAAGGATTTGGCTCAGGAGTGAAAGAGAAACAATTGACTGACTGTAGTTTTCAAGACTTGAGTGTGCTTCCAGCTGTAGTTCAAAGGTACACTACCAGGGTGTTCAAGAGGTTTGCTGTGGAATTATTTCTCCAAATACCCAGCCCTCTGTGGGTTTTTTTTTGGGGGGGGGGTGTACTGGTAGGATGTAGTGTGCTATTTTGCTTTTGCATCTAAAAAAAAATCTGTTCTTACTAAAATGATGGTACTATTTTCCTCTTAAGGTTGCTTTCCAATAAAATTAAGATAATAATTGTGTTTGGGATTCTGTGCTCCAAGAGTGTTTTGTTTGTCTAATTTGACTTATACAAAAGTTTGTGCCAAAAAGAATGCCAAACACAACTATAAAATCAACACTAATTGTGGTGGTGTCCAATCCCCAGGTGCAGAGTGCAGGGAACTGCATATAAGGGGATCTTACATTCCCACTGTTTTTTCCTAACCCACCCCTGTTATTAGTATCTTTTTCTGGGTATTTATAGATATTCTCATGCTGTGACTTGTGCTGTGGAGGACTTGCTAGTTTCTGAACCTCTTACTGAATTCTGTGGCAGGTGTCTGTCTTTAGAAGCTCTCTGTGTTTTCTTTCGAGTTCTTCAGTTGTCTCCTGTCTTCTGTTCTTCCTGTCTTGCTCCCTATCATCTAGAACTTGGTGGCACCGACCTGCTGGGCCTGTTAGTATTGCTGTCATGGTATTACAAGGCCTCAGAGGAAGAGAGAAGGGGGCAGAAAGGAAAACAGGAGAAGTACATAACTAGAAACTGGTACAGTCTTTTAGGAGAGCCTTCATTTTTAACTATGTATTTATGAATTGAAATCCCCCCCACAAGTAAAATAGCTATAAAATCTTGGAGCAATTCCAGTTGTAAGGGAATCCTTTAACTTTAGAAATCTCAAATATATTTTAGGAAAGAAGAACAATGGTAGACTAAAGAACAGTATCTGAAATAACTGGCAGAGCTAGTAAGGGGGTTTGTAAATGTTCTTACTGCTAACCCAGGAACACCTGAGTTCAATCCTCAGGTCTGACAGGGTGGACAACAGAACTGACACCCATATGTTCCCCCACACACACCCTCACACTGAAACACTTGGTCCCACACACATGCATGCACAATAAACACATAAAATTTCAAAATAAAAAAATTCTGAAATTAACTAGGCCTACTTAAACATTTCTCTACAGTAGTAGAAAGAGAATGCTTAAAAATATATTTTGGGAAATCTGGGATTGGAAGCTTTAAACCATCATCTCTTAAAGCACTATGAGATGATCATAGATGATATAGGAAAAATACTATTTCTATAATTATGAATTCATTCATAGGATTATCTTCTATTCTTTGGCTTCCATTTACAGTGGCAATTAAAAGATTTCCTTCTCAACTAAATTTATATAATAAAAGTTTATTTAAAAATGGCATATACCTCCGACCATGTTGTGTTTAAATATACATTTATGATCACAATGTAGGTGATATGTAATTATAATTATAATAATTATAAGATTGTTTAACAGATGCTAGACATAGCTTTGGTGAATGAACAACATACACTGTTTGCCTTGGCAACAGTAACCTTAAAACTTAAGATTACTGTTCAACCTCTCAGTTATGAACTGAACACAGGTCAATTTATTTCACCCTAGATGACAACTGTGCAGTATATGCATAGTAAAGTACTATTATTAGATCAATTTAAAAGTTCGAATAATTAGTATTTTAAAATAATTCTGAGGTTTCTGGGGATATCTGTGCAAATATGTTCTTAGGAATATATTTGTATAAGTGTATAAGAAGTTATGAGGGGGGAAAATAACCTTGACTGCAAGGTGAGTGTGCTGAAAAGTTTAGTTTAGAGGAGAGCAAGGACGGGCAGCTTGATCTGTATGTGGGACCCACACACAACTGCAGCAGGGGCTGCAGCCTGTTACCTGCCTGCCTACAAATCCCCCACGCCTAAATGGACAGCTTTATCTGGCCTCAGTGGGAGAGGATATGTCTAGCAATTTGATGTGCAGGGAGGGGATGTGTGGCGTGTTGACCCTCAAAGGCAGGCTTCCCTTTGTAAGGGGAATGGGGGAAGAATTTATTTGAGGGGTACTGAGAGGAGGCAAAAGGCTGATATTGGGGTGTTATAAAAATAAGACAGCTAGGAAACATACCACTTCTTTCCCCCCCAATAATTTATTAAAACATCAAATTTTATTTAAATACGAATCTTTTCCATCTTTTGAAGAGATTAAACCAACATGAAGTCTTGTACCAAAAAGAAATGGATGCTTCCTAGCTTTGGAGGAGAACGCTCCCACAGTCCTTTCTTAGTTCTCATAGCATTTGCTGTATTGATGGAGAATTCTGACAAAAATGGATTCACTCTTATAATTTCTCAACTGAGCCACTGGCAAACATACTGTATGTATCAGAAAGAATGACAACCAAAGCTACTAAAAGCATCCTAGAGGCTAAAACTATAGATTGGGATGTATGCAGACTCATTTGAATCTCAGCTTTGTCACATGGAAACAAGTTACCGAAAACAAACAAACAACTACCACCAACAAAACACCTTGAGCTAGGAATTGGAGACAATAAAATGAATGAGGTTTTCTTTTTGCTGTTGTCTCTTGAGTATACACTAACTGGTGCTTCTCTTTAACCCAGAAATGTGCTCTGGATAAAGGCTTCCAACCCACCACCAGAAACCCTTCCATCCAGAGAACCAGAAAAGGGGGAAGTTAAGCCTGGAACTGCTAAAGCTACCTGAATCTGTGTGGGGTTGTAGCTCACCCGTGTGTGTGGGTCCTATTGGGCTGAGTTGTGGCTCCCATGCATCTGCCACCCCAGGCATCTGGAATCAAGGCTCAGGGAGCAGAACCCTGGGAATTTGACTGAGTTTACTCCACGTGGCACCGGGCGGATGTAGAGCTGTGAAAAGTCACAGAACTCCGCTGGGGCATGGAGAGATCACAGTCTGAGACCCTCGGGGGCAGAGCTCTTAGGTGGGGACCCCCAGCAAGAAGACGTGCAGAGATCGACTGGTCTCAGACTCCTGGGCTCCCAGGTGCTGCCAGGAGCCATGGAAGAGTTGAGACTGGGGGGAGTATGGGCTGGACCAGCCCGCAGCTGAGGGGGATGAGGGAGAGAAGCTCCAATGCCCCTCAGGGTAGTGAGACTCTTGATCACTGCGACTCGCTTAGCTGGGTCATGGCTGGCTAGGCTAACTTGCTAGAGTTGGCAGGCCTCCATGGCTGGAATGCAGAGAAGTTCACAGAGGGAGATTAGATGGTGGCTCATTGGTTGAAGGCCCCCTTTACAGTTCTCTACTGCAGGCCCCAAAGACTCCAAGAAGTCCATGATTTTAAAAGGTTTATTGTCATGGTGGAAAGCAGATGAAGCTGTACCCCGTGTCCTCAGGGCGTGTCCTCAAGGCGGGCCTGAGGTTAAATATATTTTGCAGGGAGAAGGGTCTGGGAAGAAATGTTTAATTGGCTACATCCTCTGGCCTTTAGGTATCTCATTAATATGGAGATCTCTTGAGGCTCTAAGGCCTTCTCCCTGTGCTATGTGACAGAAGGCCACAAACCTTTCTTTGGGAGGGGCTGTGGATGGCTGAAGCTAAGTGAAAGGAACCAGGGCCCAGGAACAAGGCCGAGCTCCTACCGTCCTGTTAGGGTCACCAGGGTTGAAAGTAGACTCAGCTGGGTACCCCACTGCCCCACAGCCCACCACCCCACAAATCTGATCCATTGGAGGACTGGCCAATAAGCAAGTAGAGGGAAGAAACTTCTTCATCAGCTTAAATTTAAAGCCCCAGCATCTTTTTAGTCATTGTAGACAACGCCCCCCCTCATTAAAAACAAGTACTCTGTATGGATTTTTCCTTTTGAACTCTAACAGGGCTCCTGTAACATAAAACAAAGCTCAAGTGAATGATGAAATTTGTTTCTGAAAAAAATTCAGAATATAATTTAAAATAAAAATATTAAAACTAAATTTTCTTCGAAAGGGAGTGATTTTTCATCTCTAAGGCCGTACCTAAGGCAACTTTTGTGGTTAGATGACTTGGTTTTCTTTGAGAGAAATTATTTTGATTTCTTTGGACCTTGGTTCTCTTTTATACAAACTTAATAATTATTAGGAAGTTAGTTAAATAAACACACGTGAACCACAAGTGACCATTACAGAGATTGAAATAAATTTAAAATCAGCTAATACATATTATCAAAGTCGCAGGACAGATGTTACTGAAATAGACAATGGGTTTTAGGAAAAGGTGTTGTTAAATGAGGGTAAAATTTGGGGGTTGTCTTTGCTTTGGTCCAAGAGTGTGATATTTATATTTGTCTGTGAAAAACAAAATCCTATGTAGGTACAAAAGCCATGAACGGAAGGCATAGGCTCAAAATGTCATTTCAGCAGTGTGCCCTGAGCAGCTCTGACTGGCCTTTGGAAGTCAAGTCACTGCTGTCTGACCTTTGGGCGCCTGGGATGGGTGCCTATAGCTGCACCCGGCCTGGAAGGGGCCCAGGCACTTCCCAGTGTTGCCTATCTGTACACTGCTAACTCCTTTATAGCTTCCATCTCCAGGAAAAAGCTATTTCCTAAGCCCAGAGCAAGCTTCAGGCTAGTGTCCATTGGTGTTTAACTTTGTTGCAAGTGAACAAGAGTCCCTTCTGCCTCCTCTCTTCCGGTAAGTGGCAAGGAATCCAACTGAGGGCCTGAAGCTCTCACAGAGTACCAGGGTAGCTATAGCTAAGTCAGGGGACGCCCAGAAGCAGGTGGGGGACCAAGAAACGTGGTGGCAGCGGACTGATCCCTTCAGTCTAAAGGCCTCCGTGGCCAGTCAGTGCCAGGCGGGGTAGGGCGGCGTAGAGGGTGCGGAGATTACCGCGGCGCCACCAGAGACGCGCAGAGCAGGGGAGCCTCGAGGTCCCCCCAGGAAAGACTGCAAAAAAGAAAAAAAAAAGCCGATGACAACAGGCAGTTTCCCAAGATCGAATAAAAAGAGAGGACTTCTGCGCCGGTAAAGATCCCCTGTTCTACCGGCGGCCTGCCGCGAGGCCCCAGCGGCCACCCTAGCCCCAGGGCGCAGGCGGCGACGTCCCCCCTCCCCAATCAGCCCCCCTCCTGCCTCTAGGCTTCGGCTCCGCGAGCAAGGGAAAGGCTGCCCACGACGCGGCGCACGCTCCGGCGGCTCCCAGCTTGCGAGCAAACCTTTCCCCGGATCGGTGCCCTAGAGAGGGGACAGAGCAGTGGGGACCTGCGGAGGGACAGCCGGCCACCCGGCGCGCGCGCTTTCTCTTTTCTTCTGCCTTTCCCCTGCCTCTCGGCTGCCTGGACTTTGCCTCGGCTCCTTTCGTCCTCCCCCTCGCAGCCAGCTCCCCCACCCCGCCCCGTTTCTCCCCCACTTGTGTAAGCTATTTGTTGGGGGTGGCCGAAAGGGATGTCCTGTTTTCACCAGAGACACGGCGCGAAGGGAAAACTTAGACACTGGAAGGAAAGCGAGTAAATACACAGATCGGACCCGCAGATCACTGGCTGGGACAGACAATTGAACTTCGGGAGCCCAAGGCGGTCCGGGCCCCCAGAGGTGAGTATCCTTTCTTCATCCGACCCGTTTCCTGAAGTCCAATAGGGGAGGAGGTGTCCAGATTTGGATCTTCCCCCCAAACTGTCCCCTAAAAAGTGCTGGCTAGACACTTTGAAGTGCGTGGATGGAAGACGCGCCCAGGGAGAGTGTGTGAGCCTTGGAGTTCTCTCCGTTACTCAACACTGGTGTCCCGTGGCCAGGGTCGCTAGGAACTCAGTGATGCGCTCTGCCCAGGAAGACCCTCAACGACCCTAAGGTCCCCAGTAACCTCTCTTGTCTGGCGCTGGGCTCGGAAGGCGGGGGACCTGAGTTAATCCTCGTCCCGGGTGCAGATCCTACCTGCCCCTCGGAAGGCTTGCACCAGACTCTTCCCACTCCCACCGGGTGACATTTAATACTTTGTGATGACCCGCTACACGGAATAAGGGTGCTACCTCAGTGTCCCCTGGAAAGCCGTGGGCGCCTGGGTTTGCGTGAGGCCGGGCGCGCATGTACCCAGGGGCCGAGCCCTGGTCTCCAGGTACCAGTAGCAGTCTAAACAGCGGGGACCTCACTTTAATGGTTTTTATGTGGCATGGACGAATGTCTCCTGCAGTGTGCCAGGGTCTGTGAAATTAGAGGCGCCTTGTCAGAGGAGTCGCGTTCATTGGCTCCAGGAGTGGATGCTAGAGAGCAATTCTAATGTCTCCAAAGCCTAGGACCAGGCTGGGAGAGCAGGTTTCTCTCAGAGCTCACTGGGTCTGGGGAGGCCGTAGCACTCTAACAGTTTTTAAAGCTTGGTCAACTGGGACTCGGAGACAAACCGTGTGAGCCCGGTTCATTTTGCACGCCACGGGAACCCAATTTTTAAACTTTATTTTTCGATTAGTGCTTAATTTTTTCCTCTCTTTTCTTTGTATTCGAAATTCACAATCTCTCTAAGAGAGACTGGAGAGTCCGTGGCAGCGCGGTAGCAAAACTAAGGGAGTGTAGTTTGATTTTTGTCACCTTCCCCTTGTTTGGGATGTTAGCGCCTTAGCTCTCAGCCGCCCATCCTTCAAGTTCCCAGAGGCTAACGCGGGTTTTCGGTTTGGGTGGGATCGTCGTGGCCTTCTCCTTTTCTCCGGACAGCGCAGGTATCATTCAGGGAGCCTCCTGAACCCGAGGTCCCCAAGGAAGGTGCGCATTCCCGCCCGGGAACAACCTATGTGGCGGCTCACCAAGCGCGTGGCTTGTGTGTTTTGGTTTCTGCGCAGCTCCACATGGGGCATCTCCGTGTGCGTGTATGCTGTGTACTTGATCTGTGAGGAGGTAACTAGAGTCTCGTGTTCAAACCCAGTGGGCCCTTGGCCATTAATTTGCTTTCCTGGCTGTCATTACAGACACTTCCAAAATCTGATACCTAAAGAGATCCAACAGGTTGGGTTTCACATTAAGAGCCCACACTTAACAGTTTTCTTTCTCCCTCACCCCCTTTGGCTCGGTACTCGGGGATCAACATAATTGTTGGAGCGAAATACATCTCGAATATGGCATTCTGTTGCTCTTCTCTTAGCAGCCGCCTTTTTGCACCTTCGACCGTTTGTCAGTTTTCAGCACGGGCTCCTGGGGGACTTAGGTGGGAGTCTTTAGGAGTGTTTAGCAACTGGGACTCCCATCAACAACTTCTGAAGTTTCATTTACCCGCGGGTGACTGACAGCGCTGAAAGTGGACCGTGGCATTGTTGTTTGCTGAGTTCTTTTCTTTTAATTTAATTTATTTTTTTAAGTTTTAAGGCTTCTCCAGGACAAGACTTATATTTGATACAATTCCCCCAATGAAGTGTGATATTTAAGTAGAAACATTACCTATTTTTAATTATAAAAAAACATATATTTTGTCGGGCTTATACCTGAGAAACAAAACCTAGCAGAGAGAATTCTAAAACAAAATAATTTGATACGCTTTATGGTGCGTTTTAACAGATTTGCACTCAAAGATATTTTTACTTTAAAAAATATTCTGCCAAGAAATTAAAAAAAAAGCAATAGCAACATGAGACAGACTGTTTTGTGTGGAAGGACTGCCAGAGTCTGAGTTTTGTGGCAATAAACCCCAACATAGACAAAAGTTCCCCACGTTTACAGACTGTAAAAAGAGTTACTTCCACCTGATTAAAGATAGTAAGTAATTCAAAGGTAAGCACTTTCATAATGTCTGCACATGAATGTTAAGAGAAAAACAAATAAACCAGCACCAAAATCTTCAACATTAACAGCTTTGGCCATAACATAGCTGAACTGGCTTGAAACCTCATAGTCTAATGATTAAGTCCTTGTCCTTCCTATTATGTCTTTAAAACGCTGGTTTTCACAAACCTGCTGCCTGCCTTCATGAAGTAGATGAACATAAACACAGCACACTGCTTTCCTGTTTTAAGATCACCTCATCCAAGGGAATTTCACAGTTCTAAGTGGAAAGGGGTATTCAGTTCTTCCCCTTTTATTAATGTTTATCTCATTGAACATTTCAAATTTTTCGTTTCCAAAACAAAGCTGTGTATGTGAATTCATAAGTAACATAGTGTTGGCTAACATATTGCAATGAAAAAGCTTCAAAACCCTACAACTTGTGTAAAAAATAAGTGGATTTAAGAACAGTTTGTTCTCAATAAGAAATACAAACATGAACAGTTAGGCATTTCCTAGAAAATGGAAGAAAAAAATGTCTTTGTAAAGAAGTTTCTTTTCGAAGAAAGATTTGCAGATATTTCTAGGTTAAAAAGAAAGCATATTCTCCATCTCTAAATTTTCTTTTATTTATCTTGTGATTTATGGTATAGATAAATTTTACATACCCATAGGAAATACAGTGTTCAGTTTCATGTTTTTTGTCACTGATGTAAGCTCTGTGTGGCTGATGCGATGTCTAAAAATACATTTATGTGGCTTGGTCCTTCATTTATTAAATGTGATGAACCCGAGTTGAATCGGGTAGAAACTTTGAAAGGGTAAGATAATAGAAAAACCCATGGCTGTTGATGGAAAAGCTAGAGTTTTGGAAACATGCATGTTCTAATTTTGACATAACAAACTTAGGCTTTGTTCACATTTGTGCAGTGGAAGCTCACAGGCTTCATGCAGAATTCAAGAAGAAAGATAATCCCTTTTGAGATTCAGTGAAGTGCTAAGTAATTTAAGAATGCTAGCATTTATTATGTTTTTACATTATCTTCTGCATTTTTTTTCTATTGGGTAAACTTAAGAATACTCAGCATTCAGTAAGAACAGGCCCCTGTTACAGGGGGCTTATTCACCATAGTCCTGTACTGCAGCTGCTGATCATATTTCATGGAGCTGTTAAAGCACTTAAAACCTAAAATTAGGCACTGTCTGGTTGTAAATATTTCAGATCACTCATTTGAGAAACAAACAGCAAAGTCTGTTATCAAAAGTATGGAATCCAGTCATGGAGGAGATAGGCAAACCTTGTTATCATCTTAGTGGGAACATAACCCTGACAGTTTCTTTTTCGGATGGATATTATCCCTCCATATTCTCAACTCTTACACTGTGTGTCTCAGTAGAGTATCTTAAACTAATTGTATTCAGAAGTACAGTTGGGGATTTTATTACAGCGGTTACCAGGTGAAAGAAATCAACACCACCCAGAATGGGTGGCAGTGATGAGTACTCGCTCCTCTCATGGAATTTTCCTGGTGAACTTAGAAAGGACATGCTCTCTCAGACATTGGCCCTCCAGATGGGTTAGGTGCAAGAGTGTCTTTAACCATTCCCATGTTCAATGCAGCATTTCACAGCTTGATGTGTCTGAGTGCAAGGAACTGAATATTCATTAAATTGTGCATAGAGCCAAGCCTGGTGTCATTTAGCCTGAATTTGAGTGGAAGAAAATAAACAACAGCCACATATTCAAAAGTATCCCAAGCCACTTTGCTGGCTTTAAGAGGTCTGAAGACTTTGTAAACACTACTGTCGCTTAATATTGTTGTGGCACACACAGTACATTATGGTATACTCTAGTGATTCATCACTTTCCTCTGAACTTCCTGGTACTCTTCTTGCTCTATCCATGTGTTTGCTGTAAAAGGGTGCAAATTTTTTTTTAACACACCACTACTCTTAGAGATGAAACTGATAAAAAACAAATAAACAATAACAAAACAAAACAAACAGAAATACTTTTGGATCATCAGGCTCACATGTATAGGGAAGTTTAAGACAGTTTCAGAGAGTTGCTTCTAAGTCTCACATAACCTTTTCTGTCATTGAAGGTGCTAATTGATCTTAGCTCTGACCTAATAGTCTAGTTTGATATTTGAAACGTTTTAGTATTGGTTTGGCCTTTTTCTCACCCTTTTCAGTCTATGGTCGATAAAAAGGACACCCTGTGAAAATATCTGACTTGCTTTTACCACATCAAGCATTTTAATAAGACATATTCATGATTTAAAACAGTTTACATGTAGTAAGCTATTTTATTTTAATAATATTTTGGACTATGGAAGGAAGAACCACATGGTCCTATTAGTAATTTAGGCTGTTATCTAGTAAGTAGTTTTGTTAGGTTGTATAATAATGTCTACCATCACATTTGAGTATTTTTAAACCAAAGTCTTATTATTCCAGTATAAAATACATATCATGAAAATTTGTATCTGAGATTGTACTTTCTTAGGTATATTTATATCTTAAAGTATGTTCTTAAATAAAAGATGTCTTCTCAGAATAGTTGCCAGATAACTCTTAGTTCAAGTCAACATCCTATGGACTCAACGTGACAGGCTAGCTAGCATCGATTTAGGATCTAGTTCTTGTGAAGCACTGCTGTGCAAAGTTTATGGGATTAGCTAATCTTAATCCTTTCAGTTATGCTGTGAACGAACCCAGCAGATGCTTTCATTAGTCCCATTTTACTGGTGAAAATGTTGAGATCCATTTTTACAGCAGCAGAGTGGAGCCAAGGTCTTAACTTCTCAGTCCCACCCATCATGCTAGGGTGTTGATCCCAGCAGCTCAGC